ATAATCTCCAACAGAAAAAATCACACGAACCTTATGAGTAACCTTCAACTTCCCTGTATGATACATCCACTCAACATGGTGTGGCTGAGGGTGCTTCCATGCAGGTAACCCCAAAGCTTCCACCAATCCCTTGCTGACCGCGTTGGTGTAGCTTCCTCCATCTATAATCAACTTACAATTGGTGTTATTGACTTTGCACCGAGTCTCAAAAGTATTCCAACGTCCCTTATTCTCAACGCGATCCTCTTGCACTCGTTGCACCATTAGTGAAGGATATGATTCAGCAGCTTCAAAATTCGCAACCACATTTTCAGCATCCTTAGATTTTTCACTAGAAGTGTCAGAAACTGCCTCTTCATCACTAGCGGATGCATAGCCATCTCTCGTGAGCAACACTCTTTTCTCATTAGGACATTCACGCTTCATATGTCCCCTTCCTCCACACTTGAAACACTCTATGTCACTAATGCGTCCGGTTGACTGTGCACTAGAATCAACCATCGACAGTCCTGATTTTGAAGCATCCTTTTGCATTGGAACCATGAGAGCGATTTGATGATGTCGCCCTGGAGCTAGGACCGACATCCTCATTCTTATGCTGCGAGCGTCGCCATGTGTTCAAAGTGGTACTGGGAACTGTGTTGACTTGGCGTCGCTTAATCTGTTGTTCCGCACGCACAGCTTGGTGCACAAGATCTTGTATGTTGTAGTAGACCACCATCTCAACACGATCCTGCACCTCGATATTCAGCCCGTTAAAGAAACGTGCCATGGTCGCCTCTGGATCCTCTGTTGTCCCTGTACGTATCATAAGCAATTCCATCTCCTTGTAATATTCATCAACACTCATATTACCTTGAGAGAGCCGTTGCAACTTGTTGTACATATCTCTTTTATAGTGCTCAGGAACAAAACGACGCCTCATGAATTCTTTCATACCTCGCGAAGTCGTCGGGCGATGTCTTGAACGACAAATTTGATTCCACCAAATTAGCGCGTAACCGTTCCAGCAAGTTGAACTTTCTTCTCCTCGCCATAATAATGGGCATCAAATATTTGATCAACACGCATTTCCCACTCCAAATAGCCTTCTGGTTCGCACTTGCCGGAGAACGAAGGGATTGAAATTTTTATGCGCCCAATTCCATCATCTAAAGGCACACGCATAGCTTGACCAACTCGGTCATGCACTCCACCACGAACGGAAGTTTCAAGACGAGGCTCATAATGTCGTGGTCGTGGCGCGTATCCCGCCTGGTCAACGCCATCATCGAAACCATCATCTCCAGCATGAGGTTGTGCTGCCAAACGGCGATCATGCACGCCGGCATGTCCGTCGCGAACTGGTGGTGCATAATGCAATGGAGCAGCCGGAGCAGTCTGTGGTTGGAAAAAATTCGTCGCCGGCATATTGATGATGTCTGCCAAACCATCGAACCGAGTGATCAGGACATCTATCCTTTTGCCGAGTGCATCATGACATTGCTTGATGTAGTTGCATGTGTGGTCAAAACCATCCCGGATATTTTGAGGGATATCATCCGCATACACTGGACGTACAACTTCCTCAGAATCAGCAGCAGCCTCGCCATCCTTGTTGACCAAGGTTGACATCTTGATCAACGTCGTACCATGAACAACCTTAGCTCTGAATACCACTTGATGGAGCACAGACTAGCGAGATGCTAAATTGTGCAAGTCACGGCCTGATCTTTCACGATATTTGCGAGACAGCAATAAACGGCAGCAGCAACCGTCGCAGAATAAAACAAACAGACGACAAAGAAGAAAAGCCTTTGGATCAAAACGATATAGCAAGAAGCTAAAGGAGTAGACTTGTACCAAATATTGATACGAGATCAACAAAGGAACAGCAACAACGAAACCCTAGGAATCGCAAGAACCCATCTTTGATGCCCCTCGCCGTGAGGCGTTTTCTGGTATTTTTTTATTCAACTCAAAACTAATCTGCGTACAAAACTCAGGACGCTACCTTTTATATCCTAGTCACACCAGCCGTAAGGGCCTAAACTACTAACCAACTCAAAGTCTCAAACTAACACGGCGATCCTCTCCTTTTACATCTTGGAGAGAGAGAAAAAAAAACAAGCTAACTAGCACAACTTGTATGTGACCCTTGTATTCTAGTATTCCTTAATTAGGAACTTAATTAATCATTCGGCCACGCTGATCACACATGACTAATTTAAAACAAAGAAACGACTTATTTGCTTGCACGCTTGAAACTACTTCACCGGACATGAAATACTACCAATATTAATGCACTTTGGAGGGGTTCTGAAGTTTGGCTTCACCGTGTTCTTCTTTGGCTCCAACGGCGAAACCTCAAAGCGGAAAGATCCAAGCCGTAACATAGTCGGAAGATTATAATGTGAAGTCTCTGGTATACTTGCATCAGAACAAATGAATGTGCTTGTTTTCTGTTGAACACTTGGAGTCGCCCCAAGTAAACATACGGCATTGATGCACACATCAAGTTTGCTTTCTATCCGTTAGATATAGATTAGATGGTCTATATTGGAGGATGATAGGCACACCATCATCACCAACTTGATTTTTTATAAGAGTGTTTTTCAATACATATATAGAATATTTTAAAGTATAAACAAAAGTACAAAAATAAAACATAAAACATAAAAAAAAACTGGAAAAAGAGGCTATGGTCTCCCGTGCTCGTGGGCCGGCCCAGCTCGCTCGCCCCTTCAGCGAGTCCGAAGCCAGACTCGCTGAAGGCCCGCCCTCTAATCTTGACCATAAGCGCCACATCTATATCTCAAAGAAAAATGTACCTCAGCCCAGTTTCTTCGCAGCGACGCAGTCTTCTTACGAAAAAAAAGGTTAGTTGGCAGTCATCCCGCGGCACCATGATTTGTCGTCTCTTCATCTCTTTTAGGAAAGGCAAAAGATGAGCAGTTTCTCGTGTGAAATAGGGGGCAGCCAGCTAACTGACAAACTTTGTCTAATCACGCCCACCATTTGAAGTTACTTTCAGAGTTCCCATTCCAAGCTACTTTCACAGAGATCCTTCAGAATTCGACTGACGGCTAATATAATCATAGTTTTCCTGCAATTTCTGCAACGTCGTTTTCTCGTGTCCAGATTTGCTTCAGTCAGACCTCTTCAGCCTTCACATTAATGACACCATGACACCCGTTGGAAATTAGGAATCAGAAACTGAGTCTTTAAGAAAAAAGCCAAAAGATATAGTAGAATTTTCAACCCTAAAGTGGACAGAAGCTCAGTTTGTCCTGCTACAATTTCAGCGGACAGCCCACACCTTTCTATCCAATAACCATTTAAAAGGCTGAAAACTTCAAATGGAGAATAGATGTGCATATACTACTTCAAACATCAAAAACTATCCTGTCTATGACCGATGTGCAGTAAAAGGCAAGATTAAGTACTATTTTCAAATCAATACAGTAAGCAATTAAGTTATTTATCAATCCCAATACCATTTTTACAAAAAATGACATTACATGAGCAGAGCTCAAAATGCGAAACATAAATATCATCACGGATTTGTTAAGTAGAATGGAGAGAAAAAAAATACGACCAAATGAAATGTACCGTGATGCAAGCCAGCCTACATCAGCATGCATACCACTGACACCATAGTACCCTACCATTGATAGTGACTGAAGAGATCCAGGGGGGAAGGGGTCAATAAGTGACAAACGACAATGGTGTATTTCAAACTACTTGAAATCAAGCAAATTATTTGACTTTAAAGTTCTCCGCAAAGTGAGCATAATGGAGACACATTAAAAATGAGGGTGATATTTTTTGCAGTGATATGACAGGGTACTTACAGGGTTGCCCCTGGGTATCCCTGAAAGGCACGCACACATCAAATGGCTCCAAGAGTATAGCTTAAAGTTTTTACAAGGGGACAGTATGAACAGGACAGCTGCCAGCAAGAATCAGAGAAGATGCAATCTAAAGATCAGATCATGCTAATAAATTATGGCACGATGTAATACTATATTAGGACATCCCACAGTCATAGACGGAACTACGAGATAAAACAGCATCCGATATTGTATAGATATATCAGCAAGATGTTGTGGTTGTTGCTCGTGTATGCTAATGCCAACTTATTATGCTTTTACCAAATGTTATGTCAAACCAAAAAAAGGATGGGTTCCACCCACCATCCAGAAGAGGAAAATATTTACCAGTATCTATTGCGTCCACATTTAGAGACTTCTGATGTACAATTAGCGTGCCATTTCTTGGAATATCAATTCAGTGCGTGTGTGTGCGAAAAAACTTGTTACTACTTCTCTTCTACTAAAGAAAAAAACTAACTCCATTCCATAACACCTGACTTCTTAAAACAAATGAGATTGGTCAACTGAAGATAATACCTCTACATTTTTCATGAAAAACTATTTCACAATTTTTCAATTATTTAACTTTTAAACCAACATGTTGACATAAAAATAACAGTAAAATTTGCACCCAGACCATGTGTATAACTTCATGTATACTTTTGGACAGGTCACGAGGAACGGCGGGAGTATTTTCCAAACAAAAAAATAGCACGAAGATCAAACAACAGAATATGCAAGTGAAGTATAGCCAAATGAGAAATAACGCATGAACCAATGGAACCATACTAGATAAGAAGATCTCACTAAGGTCCCTACGGTGCACCAAGACCAAGTTCATGGATAGGCCGGCAACCAGTGCTGATGGACGCATGATGGAGATTCTAATCCAAGGGAAACAACAATTAGAAAGAAAGTAACCCAGATCAGACCACCACAAATTAAACCGTATTTTATTACCACCACACGCAGCCACCTTTTCCCATGTCAATAATACACCTCGTCTCCCCTGCCTGCCTTTTGAGCACATAAACCCACCGCTCACACCATCATCATGCCTAACCAAGTTTAGGCCCTAACCAAAGCATCCTCCCGTCCCCTCTCACACGAGAGCCCCAAAGCTAGAAGAGGAGGAAGGATACCGCCATGGGGAGAGCTCCGTGCTGCGACAAGGCGAGCGTGAAGAAGGGCCCATGGTCACCGGAGGAGGACGCCACACTCAAGTCCTACATCGAGCAGAACGGCACCGGCGGCAACTGGATCGCGCTGCCACAGAAGATTGGTATGTGCTCATCAGAATTGCTGAGTACGATGTAGTGATGCTGCCAGTAAGCGGTAGTGATAAATTGATGATAGATAGAAGCTAATTAGGTGTGCGTTCTTGTGTCTCTGGGGCATCCGCAGGTCTGAGGAGGTGTGGAAAGAGCTGCCGCCTCCGGTGGCTCAATTACCTCCGGCCGAACATAAGGCACGGTGGATTCTCAGACGAGGAGGACAGGATCATCCTCAGCCTCTACATCAGCATAGGCAGCAGGTACTGGTACAGTTGGTCTCACCTGTCTTGTCAATTGTATGATCAACTCAGCTGTAGGATTAGCTGCAAACTGGTAGGCAGGCACATGGGTGTAGTACAATCTATTACATGCTATCTACTCCCTCCGTTCCTAAATACTTGTCTTTCTAGAGATTTCAAGAAGTGACTACATACGACGCAAAATGAGTGAATCTACACTTTAAAATATGTCTACATACATCCGTATATTGAGTCCATTTGAAATGCCTAGAAAGACAAGTATTTGGGAACGGAGGGAGTATGATCTAAGTTCTAAACATATCATGCATGCCTTGGGTTGGGCGTAGGTGGTCGATAATAGCTGCACAGCTGCCGGGGAGGACGGACAATGACATCAAGAACTACTGGAACACAAGGCTCAAGAAGAAGCTCTTCGGCAAACAGTCGCGCAAGGACCAGAGGCAGCACCAGTTCGCACGCCAGGCAACGAACAGCGGGCATAAGGAAGAAGCCAGCGAGGGCGCAGCCGGGAACAATGGCTTTGCTGCTGGTGCTTACAATTGGCACCAGCATGCAATGGCCATGCCGTCCCGTCCGATGCCAGGTTCAATGGTGGAAGGCAATCGTATCGGAGAAGGCGTGGATGAGTCCATCCGGAAGCTTCTGTTCAAGCTAGGAGGAAGCTCTTTCGCTGCCCTGCAAGCCCCGCCGTGCCTTCCTCCACCAATGTATGGGGAAGCTCCAAACTTCGTGGCGCCATCGGTGCACACGGCCCCGCTAAACGAAGGTGGCATCCACTGTTCCGGCGTGCTGCCTGCACTGGAGCTGGACGAGAGCTTCCAATTCAACCAGGTCAAGCTGGACGGGCTGGAATGCTTCTTCGGCATGGGGGACCAGAGCATGAGGTGGAATGAAGTGAGCCACTTGGTCTGCCCTAACACTACTGTCGCATCCAGCTCCCAAGGGATGCAGCAGTACTGCCTCGCAGAGGAGCCCGTCGACCTTGGGATGCAGTAGCGAACTAGCTATTGGTGTTTGTTCTCATGTACATGCATGATTGTGGATTTTGTGGTGTAAATTTGTAGCATTCATGGGGAATGGTGAAAGATGATGAGAGCTCTGAATTAAGAACAATAATGTCTCTCACCACTCCTAGATGAGAGATGCCTTGTTTTCAGGCATCTCTATGTGAGTCTTGTATTGAAATGTTTTTTTCCCACTACCAGGTTACTGCCTTACAGAAACATTTACAGTTTTAGATTGTACTTGTTGCTATGTTAGTTTATCTGGTCTATGTGTGATATTTGTACCGAGTGCCAACCCTAGTGGCTAGATATTTGTTTGTGTGTTCACTAACAGCATAGACAAAGTTTACTTGCAGCATGTGCAAGGTTTGCCTAATTTTGGTCAAAAAGACATGGTCTATAATACATGAGACATTCGTGGACTTAATAAGGCATGTCTGTAAAGCATCAAAATCGTCGTTACGAAGTTAGAGAACCTAAGTATAAAGTGTAAACATACGTAATTTTACACGTCTTTTTGGCGCATGACAGACATAGGTTGAAAATGACTTTCCAATTTTTTGACAGAAATTTATCTACTTGAATTCAAATTAACGTTCTAGTGATTTGGCAAAAATGGATTTTACTATAAGTTACTGAAAGGACTTCCTTGATGACACTACTACTTATTAGTTTGTGTAAGTTGCTCACACTGTGTCAATCTAACCATATAGACAAAACAAAATCGAAGTGCGGTACTATGGAGTGTGGAATGATGAAATGGAAACTTCATTTATCCGGTCATCATATGTAATTATCAAAAGTTTGCTTCTACTTCACCTGTTTGATTCCATATCTTGCATTTCCAGCGTTCATACTTGAAAGGGCTACTAGGTACTATTTCTCACTAGCCAATGGGACACAACACTAAACTCCTTCCACAGAAAAACTATAGTCATTGCTTGACTTTTGTTCAAAAAATGATTAGTTGTCAGCATGTCACAACAGATAATAGACCATATATCCAGGTATACTAGCTACCATAAACCAGTATTCTCTACAACTAAATAAAATTTCAGTTCAAAGAACTAGTGTCTGAAGGTAAAAAAGGAAATGACTTCACAATCATTGACACCAGATATTGATCTAGAGAGAATGGTTTTGCATGTTTGCATGCTTTTCCAAGCAAATTAATGCTGGCATACATGAAGTAATTGTTGGTACTCTTGTTGTATAATAGGAAAGCTAGAGGTCTTATGTGTAAAAGTGAAGCTCTGTAAATATCTGTACTGAGGATGAATGGATGAGGTTGCCCCGACCAGAAATTCCAGTGTCTTCCCCTTCTCTCACCTTCGACTCCTCTCTGATTAGGTGTGTGTTCCACAACATGGTATCAGAGCAGGGTGGCTTGGGGGCCTAATTTGCGGTGGTGGAGAGCTGAATCGGGGCTGGGTTGGTCGGCTGTGGTGGAGGAGTGTGACTGGCGGCAGTTGAGGCGCAGCGCTGGTCAGTAAGGGCGCGTCGGACGTCAACAGGCAACGAGGTTCAGCCGCTGCGGTGACTCGATTTGAGCATTCCCTTCGTTGCTGGAGCTGAACAGGTCAGGCATTTGGGTACTCAGTCTGAGGTGTGTGTGCTGGGTGTGGAGGAACTGAAGGTATGGCAGGCAATGAAAATGCCCCAGCAGGAGTCACAGCGGGGGAGCTTGCTGTTGTTTTGCAGGCGATGGATGAGAAGTATCGGGTGTTGTTTGATGCAATTAACAAGCAAGCAGGGAACTCAAGATCAGAAGTGGAGATAAAAGAAGAGGTGCATCCTTTGCAAATGCCCCATGTAAAATTAGAAGGGCCTGAGAGTTATGTGAGTTGGGCGGAGCATACAGAGACCATTTTGGTCTCTAGGAAGCTTGAAGGTTATATTTTAGGCATGGTGGAGAAGCCTGCAGATGAGAGTTCCAAAGAAGGCCAGAAGTGGAAGGCGACAAATGCACTTGTGAGGGCCTGGTTATTGAGCTCGGTATCACCTCAGATCGCTAAGCAAATTGAAAGGATTAAAGAAGCTTCTGAAATCTGGAGATTATTGAAAGGGACATTCTCAGGAATAGGAAATGAAATGCTTGCTTGCAAGATTCAGAAGGAGTTGCAGGACCTGAGTCAAGGCGAGAAGACAGTGGTTGACTATGTTTCTGAGCTGAAACGACTTTGGAGCGGTTTGGATTATTATGATCCAATTGAGATGGAGTGTGGCAAGTGCATTGAAAAATACAATAAATGGACCGAGAGGAGGCGTGTTAGGGATTTTCTAATTGGACTTAATTCTAAGTTTGAAAACAGAAGGGCTGCATTGTATGGTAGTGGGAAACTACCTAACCTGGAGCAAGCAATATCTGCAATTATTAGTGAGGAAACTCGGTTGAAGCTGGAGGCTACAGGATCGTCTACACAAGGCGTCGCACAGAGGTGCTCGGCCTTCCTTGCTACAGAAGGGGCAAATTTTCAAAGATCAGGAGCAAGTATATATGAGAAGAAATGTTTTGAATGTGGCCAGCCAGGACACTTGCGAGTCTCTTGTCCTGAATTAGTTGGAGCAAGCCTGTAACGCCCGGATAATTAGGCTACAGTAAAACTCTTTTAATGATGCCATGTCATCCGTGTTACTGTTGCTAATCAAGTGGTAGTTCAAAATCATTGCAAATTCAAAATATGAATTAGTGACAAACACCCTAAGTTTTCAAAAGGCAAAGCGAAAATGTTCGGGGGTTGCCAAATATTGCACTGGTAATTATGGTGAAGCAAACACCATTTTATAAAATGCCTAAATGCCCTAAAACTAAATAAAACAGTAAGGGAAATAAATAAAAGAAAGAGATTACAAAAAAA